TGAGAAATCTATGAAATTCTTGGGTAAAAAGCATGAAGATCTTGCCAGAATCTGCTGTTGATCCTATTTTCAGTCTGTTAACAGGACAAAAGAGTTTCTAGAAATAGAAAAAAATAATTAATCTGGCCTCTACCATAAATCCTTTAAGTTAATGGAGAACAAAATTTGCATCTGATAAGACCATCACATCTAAATATAGAGGAAATGGGCTATTTCCTCTATAATAAACTATTATAAACTATTTTTTTTCTTATAGGAAGTAAATTGTGAAACCACATCTGGAATACTGCCTACATTTTTCATTATCACGTTGTAAGAAAATGTAATATAGCTATAGAAGAGTAACACAAACAATAAAAAGACTAAGATAATTTTTTAAAAAATAACAAAAATACTAGGTTTTAGAACAGAGATAAGAGGCTGGCTGGGAGATGACAGGGAATTAGGAGAGGTGCACGAAGCAAGCATTCTGTCTTATAAGCCATCAAGGGGAACTGTGACCTGAAACAAGGTGGCAATAACAGAACCAAATATTGGGCTGAATAAGTTACTGGTTTGCCACTCACTGTTATATACTTTTTGGTATCCTTTTGACTTTCTTTTACCTGCAAATAACTGCTGAAAAATGAATAGTTAAAATTTCCTGGGCTTCTGGGAAGTGAGGAAATATGGTGACACTAAGCCAGGAGAAGATAAGGCTGATAGTGGAGGCAATAATGAGTTTTGTATAGATAACGGGATGGAATGAAGGATGGGGAGATTCTATGCATTTCCCCTGAGACTAGGGAAAAGGGAAGGTCAAAAATAAGAAGGGTGCCCTATGGGCTTAGAGACACAAAAATGACTTTTTCAATAGAATAACGTTTCAAAATTATAGTACTCTGCTAGGCAAGTTTTTCCTACAATGCTTTAGGTTCAGTGCTGCCCTGAAAAAGGGACAGCCTTTCAATGACCTTTCTCAGCTCATGATTAAAATGCAGTTTACCAGTTTTCTCATTATCTCAAGATACGTAGAAAATAATAATTCTACCCTAATCTGACTTGGCTCTTTTCACCTGAGAATTTCTGTTTTTTAGTCCTCTGGCCACAGAATTTCATTTTAGGATATAAAAAGTCACAGGAGATAGATTGTCTTGATAGTCTCCCATGCAACAGAGCTGCTCACTTCATTTAAATGGAAATGTGCATTTTCATGGAAATTCAGGCCTGTATTGATAAACAAAGATAAGCTGCCACTATTAAATAGAATAGTGATATATGGAAAGAGAAAAAAGTGTCCTAGAACCTAGAAAACTCATTTAACAAAACAGTGAAATTGAGAGATAAGAAATTTAAAAAAATATATACATATAAAATAAATAAGAAATTTTAAGCATATATATATAACCTAGATATGGGACAAATTAAATTTTTTAAGGATCTGTTGCATAATATTTAGATGGTTATAAAGCTGAAAATCCCAGGACAAAGTTGAATACATATGTGTTTAATGAGCATAATGACTCAATATGAAAAAAAAAACTTCTCAGCGCAGTATCTTTATAAGTAGACATTAGCCAAGTAATACCCATTTTTCGGTGAACATGTTAAGAAGCATCTGTCATGGATTAGGTGTGATATAATTTTCCCTGTTCTTAAAATTTTAATGTGGTTATTTTGGGGTCCACTTTTCAATAATTCATTTAAAGAATATTTAATAATCACACATTTTCATCTCCCAACTAGAAACCTGGAAATATTCTTACATATTTCTTGGTTAAATTTCATGCAAGTCTTGAAGATTTTTCCTCTCAGCAACAAACTGTGAATCGATTGCTACTCTCAATATATTTATCAGACCTGAATATCTATTACTGACAATTGATATCTTGCTTCTTTCTCCCAGCTCTCCCACTCTATCCCACCTCAGTGCAGCACATACACTGCCAATTAAGTCCTTTCATTTATACCTGCAGAGGGAATACCTAAAACACAGACAGTGATGAAATAAAGTCCAAGAAGACACAATCAAATAGGTGGGGAAAAAAATAAAGGGAATGAGACAACCTAAGAAAAGGATTTACAGTAAAAATTTTGGCAAATAAGCAGTTGTGCAATTAAGTCATAGATGTTACATTACTCTATTAATTCTTTAGTGTGACTGAACAGTGCTTTTGCACAATGCTGCTACAGGAAGAGTCCACACATTCATGAGTTGTTTCCCACATGCAATTAGAGTTTTAGGAACACAACCTGAAGAATTTAATCAACAGAGCAATACTGGCTAGGAGCACAAAGAAGGGAGCTATATTGTAAGAGCGTTGTTTCATAAAACATTTTTAGTTTTATGATTTTCCTGAAAATGAACAGTAAAAGGATGCTTAGCCTATTATTTAAAAGTTGAAACCGTCAATGATGAATAAATATATAAAGGAGATGCTGATGTACAGGATTGACTCCATAATTTAGATATTGTCTTTGCCAGATGAGAAGAATCTATTACAATTCATCAGAGTTTAGATAAAGCAGGAAAAATACAATATTAAAAGTCTCATTAACAGTTATTGTTTACTTTGGCAGTAGCTGTTATACATTTTTTTAGGACAAAATTTATATTTTAGCTGAAAAAAACCCCAAAACTGAAGAAAAATTTAATTTCTTTGTTTACACTTTAGATATTTGACTTTATTTCTTAATATGATTTCAGACACTAGTGTTTAGTTTCTGCACAGAGGGCCATGAGAGGAAATGCTTCTGCTGCATCTATGAGAGTGTGGAACACTGCAGTATAACGGAACATGTCAGAGGGAGAAAGCCAAAGACACGGTGTGATGAAATTATTCGACTTCATTTCTTCTCTCTTCCTCTGCTGTCTTAAGAAAAAGAACCCTCAGACTACATGAATACAATTCAATTGTTCAATTATAACTTCAAAGCCTGCTGGTGTTCTTTATATTTAGTAGAAGAGGATAGAAGTTGTATTACAGGTTCTTAATCTTTCTGATAATGACAGTCTCCTTTTGGCTGCAAGCATTCGGATCAAATGTAGAGGACCCTTGTGTCAGCTTTCAGAGGGACACCTGGCCATGGAGGACATGAGATGATCCACTGTGATAGGAATCAAGTGATACAGGGGACTCGCCACAAATGTCTTTGGAATTCTGGAGATAGTGCTGGTTCTCTGTGCTCCTGGAAACATAGTCAGCTCAGTGGGAATAGCCATGCAGAGCCTTGAGCTTAAAAGGGCCCCACCAGTTGTTTAATGCTCCATTGGAGTGATCTTACAACTCTTAATCACTTTTCAACAAGGGACTGTACATTTGCATTTTGCACCGGTCCCTGCTAATTATTTAGCTGGTCCTTCTGGTGAAGAAGAGCTTTGAAAGGGACAAGGGATAATCAGCTCCGCTCTTTGGCCTTCACTTAGATATGGTACCTGGCTGGAATGGCCATGCTTTGCTGTGTTCTGCTCTGTCCAAAGTTTCACACAGATATCCTGCACCCAGAGGAGACATACATCCTCTTTCAGAATCCAGTTTCTCTTCTTGGTTTAGTAATTTATTCCCTCTCTGCACTTTTAGTTGCATTATAGTTGCCTAGTCCCAGATTTTATTTCCAAACTCTCTTGTGTTTGCGTGTCCATGTTATTGTATTTGGACCATTGAGATGCAAATAGACATGTTTGCAATTTCCAGGTAATTGCTGTAAAGATAAAGGCAAAAAGACTGAACTCTTTCCTTCTTCTTATAGGCTGGAAGAGAGATGTGCTGGTGAGCCAACGTTGACTATTCAGAGGAGGATGATAGACTAGGGGAAGGCAGAGCGAAGAGTAGAAGCAACTCTGGTCCTTTCAGACCTGAATGAGAACTCCCCTGCCAGCATGGATCCCTCACCTTGAGTCAAGGACTTCAAAGAGGAATAAATATTCTGGGGTCTCTTTGTGATTATAATTGGCTTAGCCTCTGCCTTAATACACAGAATACATTTTTGAAGGCTGATTCGAAATGAGTTTATCTTTATCCAGAATAGTTGAATAATACAGTGTTCTTAGTGTCTGAACATTCTACATATGGAAAATTACTAACTTTCATTAAAATGATGTAAAACTATATTGATCATGATATTATACTCAATGATTCTCAGAATACTTTTGGATCTTGCAAAGCCTCAAGATCATCAATGTTAATACTAATTATAGTATGTATCTATAGATGTTGGGCTTTGAGTAAATCTATAATAACCTGTGACAAACTCCTTAAGTTACATTTTTAAAAATAAATTCCTGAATTACTTTAATTTTATTGTAATTTATCTCCATATTGAAAGAAGACTACAAGGTGTTAAAAGTAACGTTTCTGAATTTTCTCATTGTTTGGAACCTGAATTAAGGCACATAAAATACGTTAAAAAAACAGCTTTGTTAGAATGTACCAGGACATGGAGGACCTAAGCCACCATCTGTGCTGGAATAAAGAGGGTGTGCATCACCAGCTAAATACCTGGCCATAAGATTCCCAGTTATCAGAAGCAACTGAGGCACAACCACTGGCACCCTGCTGTACACAGGTTGAATCCTCACTGCCCCTCCCCTCTCCTTCCAGCTTTTCCCAGAGGCAAAGCCCACAAATCTTTCGGACTTTCTGTCCCAAATCAGCCATCCCTGATGAGAGGATGTTGTCTTGCAAACACTTATATCCAGGACACCTGGGGCAGAACAGCAGGGTGACCCACCCTCCCCAGGGGTCTGCTACACACACTTAAAAACCCTTCTACCCTTTTCCTTTCTGCTGTAGTCTGCTTGGACTCAGCCCCCCTGATCGTACTGACTTGAATAAAAGTCCCTAGTTGGACCTTTTTGCACCCTATCCTTTCCTGGCCACCTTGGCTACCTAACAAACATAACTTCTGATTTCTTAAATTTTTTCAATGACTAAAACTGCTAAGATTTGAAATATTTTTATTGATAAACCAGTTAAACCATTAAGGAATCATATTGTCAAAAGTGTAGCTTTTACGTTTACCTGCTCCAATGACTCTCTCAATGCGAATCCTTGAGGGATCAATCTCCTTTGCAAATTCATGAACTGCTAGGGATGGGTCCTCATAGGTGTCTGGATCTATGTAGGTTTTAATTCCTGGGAAGCGTACTGCAACAAAATAAAAGATTGTTTTAGTTTAAGAGCTTTTTTTTTGTAATTACACATCTTGTGAATAGTGAATATTTAAAGGGAGGAGTCACACTGAAGTACTCATTCTTGTTAATTACTTAAATTCAATTCATTTTTCTTTTTCTGTCCCTTCCCAATCTGCCCCAACTCCATCAAAGCTTTGAGTACTTGGAATAAAATATTTTATTTACTGTTAATGTAAAATGACCTGGTAGTTTAATAAAAAGTAAACTGAGGGTTTCTAGAAAACACATTTTTATTATATTTCTGTAAAAAGTCTAATCAGCTCACTTACCTACTGACAACCCATACATTTCACAACCAATCTAGCTCAGGGCATGGGGGAAATGAGGCATGAACATGCCCCCCCCCACTACCCGCACCCCGCCCCCCCACGCCCCGCAAAGCAAGCCTGTTATTAATGCCCATCTTGGATCTTTTTACTCTAAGGCCCTAGGTTTTCCTGAACTTATGCCCGAGTCTTGTGGTCTCTCCTCTTCCAGAAACTCTTAGGCAGTAAAAAACAGACCCCATGGCACAGTGTCGGAAGATGACAACAAGTAATAGCCTTTTTCTGTGTCCTTGTAGTTGCTTCCATGGCCAGAATAAATGGTCCTGAGAAGGATCACCTGTCTATCCTGGAAGGAAGGGGTAGGAATCAAAGGCACATATCTGGTCTTTGGCTGTGTAGCTGCTACTGTTTCTCTGGTGGGGGGAGGAGTGAGGGGAGTGCTCACTGCTGGAGGGTGGGGAGAGGGCAGTGAAGACAGGCATGGCTGGAAAACTTGAATACAGTGGTTGCATATTCATTTGCAACTTCCTCAGTATCAGAAGAAGTCACAGACTGCCTGTGGTTATTCCTCTATTTTGCTCATTGGTTTGTGTTTTCCACATCATATTTCTAGTTCCAGACAGACAGGAGACTTTTTTATTCATCTTTGTAATTACCAAATACTTTGTGTATGGCTTTATAGGTAATAAGCACCTACAAACCTTTTGGCCTTTGCATAGATATGATATTAAATATAAATTATTATTGGATATGAATCAGCAAGGATTAAAAAATCAATGCAAATATGTACCATAGTGGATAATATTTGGTTTTGTTGTTTGATTTTGAAAGCCATACAATACTCTGAGGTAAGTGTTGTCTAGGTTTCCTTAGAAACATTCCCTTTCAAGAAAAATCTCAAAAGCAAAGATAATAAAGTAAGTTTAAAAGAGGTAAGGAAATGCCCATTTTTAGCAATAGTTTGCTTCATGAGTTCTTCTATCCCTGCTGCCTTCTTTTATTACTTTTTGCCTACTGTCTTCTAGTACTGGATATGCACCCATGAGATTAGTACTTCTCAAAACAGCACCAGTGAACCTGAAAATGATTCTGAAATACTATGCTTTTTTTCACTTTGCAAGTTTTAGATTGGAGGAAAGGAGAACAGATAATCTATACCTCTTGTTTATAGTTTATATGACTTTTTTATAATTTAGTAGGAGCTGTGATTTCAATTGAAATACTATAAACTCAAATTCAGTGGCTACTACTAGATATTAATAGTATCTAATTGATAATATTACTTTTGGCACAGATAACATGTATTATTTAGTAACTCATACATGGTTTTAACAATTCAACCAATTATTTAAAGTGGTACACACTTCTAAGGAATAAACTGAGTAGTTAATATCACTTTTTTTTACCTTATAAACACAATATACGTAGTAAAGAGAAAACAAACAAACAAACCCAAACTTAGTTCTAATATTGACTCTCTGGTTACTCACTTAACTTAGCCAAGTCTTTTTAAAACATTGGTTTATCTTTCTTCCATCTCATGGCTGCCTCAGGTTATTTTCATTGCTTCTTGCTGAGCCCACCTGGTTTAGTTTATGCAAAACTGCTAGTTGGGAAGGAGATCATAAATATTTCAGGAGCATCTCTTTCTTCTGCATTTCACTTCTAAATGTCCCGCAGTGAATCTTAAGGTTACTCAGCATAAGCTATCTGTCCAGGTGTTTGGATCCAGGTTTCTGCATTTGTTTACAGCATTTGCAGATCATTCCATGCCTGGTATCAGCCACCTCTTACCTGCCCGTGTAGTGAACCTCAAACTAATTGCACAACAGAACAACCTGGGACGGTTTGCTAAAAATGTATATGTCTTGGCCCTACCCTGGACCTTCTGAATCAGAACTTGGTGAGGATGGAATATTCTAATGCTGATGGTCCTTAGACCACTCTTTGAGAATCACGTGAGTCTTAGAAATAGTCCTAAATTATTCCTCTAGTTTGCCATTTCCTCACTTATATCCCTTCCTTCCCCTGGATGGTGATATGGTTTTAAAATTCCATTATTCATTTGGCTCAATATGAAGTAGAAGATGAGCTTAAATAGTTAAACAGCGTGCCTCACATATTATCTCTACACTGTGGTTAATTAGAGAACATTCCTTTCTTGTTAATTCAGCATCTCACTACAGAGGAATTGCCTTGACAAAGTAGTTTGCCACTTGGAGGTGGAGGTGAAGGTGGGCGTTGAGGAGGGGAGGGTGGCAATTATCTAACCAACTCTAGTGGTAATTATAGCTTGCTTGGGAAGAGATCCTGCAAATGGATATAACCTTGTAGTCAGCTCAAGGATTTCATACATATTCTAAGAGTTAAGGAGCTGATTTTCTTTTTTAGTGTTAATGAACTGCAAATTGATTTGTTATATGTTTAAATGACAGTTCCTACACGAAGGAATAACAATTCCATAATATTCCTGTGGCTAATGCTCCACTAAATAAAACCAGCTCACGTGCTGGGGACATTGTGAGTGGTAAATAACTAGATATAATCAGTCATCTTGTATTTTTAGCATATTCAGTCAGTCACATTTTTCAGCCAGCAGAATTAGGAGAAAAGCAATATCATTTAATGAGAAGCAGGTGTACTTTCCACTAACAAACCTGGAAACCAGATGAAAAGTTGGAAGTAAATTTTGTGGATTTCTTAACTCACTGATCCAAGTTTACAAGGGACTCTTGAATTGCTGGAACAATATAAAATAATGGAAGAAAGTCACTTCACTACTTACAATGCCCATTCTGTAAATGGTTTCGTCTCTTCTCTTCTGACTTCATTTTTGCCTTTATGTACCACTGGCACCTTTTCAAAAAGTAAACAGAATCTTTTTTTTAGAATATGCTGGATGAGAACCAAAGGCAAATAAAATACATATCACTCAAGGGCCCTTTCAAGAACATTTTTATAAAATGTGAAAATACTCCACAGGTTTTTTTTTTAAATGTGTATCAAACTTAGTCCCAGATAAAAATAAAATACTCCCAAGTGGACTGATTGATCCAGAGGATAGGGATCTTAGAGAATATTTTATAATCAGCAGTGAACATCATGTCCTTCCTTATACGACTTCTAATAGCTAGAGTAGTGAAACGAATTAAAAGTCAAAATGAATAAATGGTTGTGAGTCAGAGTATTAGACATTAAGGCAACTATCTTCTAGTTTCACTGCTAAATGATATGATTTTTTTTTAATGTCAGAAATTTGGTGGAGGCATGTTCTGCTTGCTCTTGGGATAATCCTGCTCTGAAGAACAGAAGCAGCTGCTTATTTCCCATGACTCCCTAAACATGAATAAATTCATCAACATCCATCTGACGTGACAGTTCACCAAATCACTAATTCCAAATGGTTGAACAGAATACATCTGTGGCACATAGTCCGTTCCTCGAAGGTGAATGTTGCTTCAAAGCCTGTGGCAAGTTCAGTATTTATTCAGAAATGTCTTATAGTTTTCATAGAATAATTCCAATAAATGCTCCCCTACCAAAGTGCTTAAGAGATATTTCAAAATGAATTATTTTTATCTTACACAATTACAATAGTTTCCCTCAGCATGTACAATGTTTCCAGTGTCATATAAACTGGCAAGCATAAAAACTGGAAGTTAATAATTTAGGACAAACTTTTCTTCATTCTTCAATTTTCTAAGTAGTATTCAAATTCTGCTTCAGGAAAAGATAACATTTGACCCCGTCTGTCAAGTTCATTAGGCCAAACTTACGTAACCTTCAAGGACTGTAAAGTTTTCTTTTCAGTTTGTCATATTTATGTAAGGCAATATTTTGTTTTTTTAAAAATTTCATTTATTTTTAAAAGATTTTTGATTACAGTTTATACTCAATATTGTTTTGTATTGGTTTTAGGTGTAGAGCATAGTGGTTAGCCAATCATACACTTTATAAAGTGTCCACCTGATAGTTCCAATAGCCAACAGGCACCATACATAGTTATTATAATATTAATGACTCTATTTCCTATGCTGTAGTTTACATCTCTGCAACTATTTTGTACTTCTCAATCCTTTCGCATTTTCACCCAGTCCCCTAGCCCCCTACCCTCTGGCAACCATCAGTCTGTTCTCTGTATCTGTGAGTCTATTTCTATTTTGTTTGTTCATTTACATTGTTCTATGGATTTCACATATATGTGAAATCATGTGGAGTTTGTCTTTCTCTCACTGACTTATTTCACTTAGCATAATAACTTATAGGTCCCTCCATGCTGTCATAAATGGTACAATTTCTTTTTAATGGCCAAGTAATATTTTGTTGACTAGATGAACCACAGTTTTTTTATCCACTCATCTACTGATGGGCACTTGGGTACTTTCCATATCTTGGTGATTGTAAATAACCCTGCAATGAACATAGGGGTGTGTATATTATTTCAAATTAGTGTTTTGGCTTCCTTTGGACACATATCCAGAAGTGGAATTCCTAGGTCATAAGGCAGTTCCATTTTTTTTTTTTTAGGAATCTCCATACTATTTTCCACAATGGCTGTGCCATTTTGCATTCCCACCAACAGTTCACGAGGTTTCCCTTTTCTCCACATCCTTGCCAGTGCTTGTTTTTGATTTATTGATGATAGCCATTCTGATAGGTGTGAGGTGATATCTCATTGTGGTTTTAATTTGCATTTTTTTCTGAGGATTAGTGACTTTGAGTATCTCTTCATATATATTGTCCATCTGTATATCCTTTTTGGAGAAGTGTCTATTTAGGTTCTTTGCCCATTTTTTAATTGGATTGTTTGTGGGGGTTGGTGTTGAGTTGTAAGAGTTCTTTATAAATTTTGCATATTAACACCTTTTCAAATATATCATTGGTGAACACATTGCCCACTCAGTGGATTGTCTTTCCTTTTTGTAGATGATTTCCTTTGCTGTGCAAAAGCTTTTTAGTTTGATGTAGTCCCATTGCTTTATTTGTTCTTTTGTTTCTCTTGCCCAAGGAGATATATAAGAAAAAATATTTCTAAGAGAAACATCTGAAATTTTCCTTCCTATGTTTACCTCTAGGATTTTTATGGTATTGAGTCTTACACATAAATCCTAAATGCGGTTTGAGTATATTCTTGTATGTGGTGCAAGAAGGTGGTCTAGTTTCATTTATGCACCTGTCCAATTTCCCTAACTCCATTTATTGAATAGACTGTCTTTACACCATTGTATATTCTGGCCTCCTTTGTCAAATATCAATTGTTGAAATAGGTGTGGGTTTATTTCTGGACTCTCTATTCCATTCCATTGATCTATATGCCTGTTTTTATGCCAAGGCAATATTTTCTGATATGTTAATAAAATGCTTTCCCATATGTGTATGTGCTCTTTATATCATTTGCTGAAATACTATATACTCCATGAGAAAATAAGACCTTAACTCCTACTTTACAAATACATATAAATAAAATTAAAAATTTTAAAAATGTATCAAGCTTGACATAGATTGAATTACTATTAAAAATGTCATTGAGATCAATTTCCTTATGAGTTAGAGTCATTTTTTAAATTGGGGATAAATGACACTGTTTTTAAATAAAATCATACTTGAGAAAATACCCCAAACTTTTTCAAAGAAACTTTCAAATAAGAAAATATGAATCTTTCTGAATCAAAGTAACCATCATATCTAAATGATCACAATCTAGTTAACAATATAATTTGTGTCTTTGGAGTTAAGGTTACCTTATAGGACTTCATTTTACTTTAATAACTGAATAATATTTCTAGGCTCCAAACTGATTGTCTTAAATTATGTACTACTCCATGAAAAATAGAGTATTATCAAGATATTAATGCCTCCAAATTTATAATGCACAGGCAGTACTTGTGTTGTAAATGACAATGAAAACAGAGTAAGTTTTATTCTTCTACTTTTTCTTTAATAACATTTACCAAACATGTAACAACCAATAAAATGTTGGCATTTTGGTTATTTAAATCTCACCAAGTTGTCATAGTGACTTTACATGCACCAAAATGCTATTATTTTCCCTTCCTTCCTTTCTTCAGAGTTGCCACATTTACCACTGGCATTTTTTCCCCTTTCCTAGGCATTGTTATCTTTTAATCCCTCTTCTTGCAAGAAAACACTAGATAGGGTCAGAGAAATTCTAACTTTTAAAAAATAAGCAAACAGGATTTATTCACGAGGATGTGTAGGGTTTTATTTATTTGTTTTTAATTTTTTAATAACCAGTTGACCTCTGTTAGTGATTTAGAATTTCGCTATTTGTAGGCTATAGCATTGAATATTTTGCTTTCTACCTAATGGTTAGCTGGTTTAGAGACATCAAAATTTGCTTTCTGCCCACTGTAAAGATGATTGTGTTAAAGCTGTGATGATGGCAAGAAGCTGTCAGAGGTTAGCTGTCGGCGTAGAGGGAGAAAGAGGAGAGTGCTGGACGACAGTAACCGATGGTGGTGCCATGGTATGCTCACACTGGTACTTTTATTCGATGAACTTATAATTATTCCTACATTCTCCCATATGTGTGTGCATGTGTGTGTGTGTATAAATTGGGGATAAATGACACTGCTGTTACATACAGTTATAGCTAGCATTCTTTTATCAGCTAATCAGACCCTGGCAAAGCAGTAATTCAGGGACACTGTTACTCATAAGAGACATACTATATCTGTTCGTATACATGAAAATTTTAAGTTAACATAGGATGAATGTGTCCCTTTTACAGTTCATTTCATAAAGAAGTCACCATTTTAACTTTAGCACATTGGACTGTTCATGTCTTTCTTTGTTCTTGGTAAGTTCTGTAAAAGTAGGCTTGTTACAATTAAATTGGGTACACTCTTGATAGGTGGTAATTACATTTTGTCAGGAACCTACACTTGGTAAGTGCCCTCTAAGTACTGTCAGTTTATTGATCTCTAACCTTCATCTGCTGTCAAAAGTATAGATAACAATTTTAATATATGCATATCCTCTGCCATTTCAAATAAATTTTAATAAATTATGTATATAAGTAGAATTTTAAAAATAAATAACACAAAGGTTGTTTCTAGTTCACTGAACTACCGCCGCTGAAGGCAGTTATTTGTTTCTTCTGCTCACTGTTAAATATTAGGGTATTCCAGTACAGGGCACTTTAGTGGCAGTCAGCATGGATGTGTATTGTTTGACTGACATTCTTAATATAGATTTAAGTCATGACATTGGTATTTTTTAGGATGTATATTTCAGATTATTGGGAAAACTCTCGAGGTGTTCCTTTGTTTCTGAATTGATAATCCTGAAGGAATATTCCACCTCTTGTAGGAATGAAAATATGATGATCTGATGATATTCACAATTTTTGACAAAAGTCTGGGCCTAAAACCAAGGGTTCAAGAAGAAGTAACACTTATTCTTTTAAATAATTTTATACTTACTATCTTCACTCACATCTCTGTATTGTCAGTACCTAGTAACAATACAGAGATGTGAATGAACATAAAATGTATGAAATCTAAGGTTTAGATAGGTAAAGCTAGTCAGCTAGTCAGGATCGAAATCTAGGCCTTTTGCAATGCTAAATGTATTGTTACTTTAAATTTTCATCCATATTACTCTAAATTTAATAAATATTAGATTTAAAATACCAATTAATGTAACTCCAATATAGATCCTTTCAATATTTAATAGATTAAAATAACACATATCTATAACACTAAGTTTACAAAGAATTTTCATATAAATAGTTTGGTCTCTCTGTTGAATTTTCTTTAAATCCCTTTCACGGTATACTTTGGTTGTAGTAAAGGAAAAACTGAGAATTAACTTATTATGGTAAGTACAAATCTATCATTCACAGTTCTCAAAGTGTTCTTATCAAGTCTCCGGTTGCTTCGTTTCAGGGACCTGTTGATACAGAGAACTAGCCAGGGTGGTTCTGTTATCTTAAAGTTCACTCTCATAGTGAATCTTCCCTGATCCCTTTTTCTCTCAGGTGTGCTTTGTTCTGTTTTAAAACATTTGGAAAAAAGTGCATTAAAAATGGTTATTCTCGTATCTTGGAAATAATCTGGTATACGTCTGTTACCTCCCAGTGATTAAGAAGAACAAAGTAAGAATGACGAGGAGAGTGAATCCCCCAACAGCCGCGGTGGCTATCACGAGAATCTGCCCCTGCTCCGCCGCCATGTCAGAAGCTGAAACACAGAAACATGATGAAAATTTCCCTGGGTGACATTTCATTACCAACATTACTTTACCACTTAATATATGCTTGCAAATATGGTACTGTCTACCAACAAGCCCATCCTATTTGCCCTTTATTGAGCACACAGGATGCAAGCCCAAAAGATGGGTTGAAGATTAAAGTCATAATCCACAACATAAGCCTTTCTTCCTTTTTACAAAAATGCCAATAAAGTAAAGAGTTCTTAGTATCCCATCTGTTAAGATTAAATATGTGTTGAAAAGTTTAATTTTCAATTAAATCAGTAGATGGATTAATGGGTTTTATTTATATAATTGCTAATTTCTTTCCTTGAACACTGACCAACTGGTCAGGCTTTACATACAGTTTTGGTGCCTGTTTCCACAAAGTGGAAAAACTATGGTGTAATTTGTTTTAAGAACGACCATCTTGTAAACTTGAAATGTATATAATCTTATTAACCAATGTCACCCAAATAAAAAAAATTTTATTTTTATTTTTGTAAAGATTTTATTTAATTATTTTTAGATAGAGGAGAAGGGAGGGAGACAGAGAGGGAGAGAAACATCAATGTGTAGTTGCCTCTTGTGTGCCCCCTACTGGGGACCTGGCCCACAACACAGGCATGTGCCCTGACTGGGAATCGAACCAGCGACCCTTTGGTTCACAGGCATGTGCTCAATCCACTGAGCTACAAGAGCTGGGGCCCCAATAAATTTTAAAAAGTGAAGGGGAATAAAGATTTTCTCAGATAAAAAAAAGAATGATTGTCTTTATATTTAATGTTGCTTAATTCAAATTTACTATTAAAAATTCCACCTTTACAGCACAAGGAAGTGCATGCTTAGTACTCAGATGTTTGACTGGCAGTAATTAAGAAAATGATATTTAAAAGCTTCCTTTATTGATGAAAAAACTATATAACATATGGGAACAACATATTGCTTCTCTCATTGACAAAATCATATCTTAAAACTTTTTGCGCCTTCCAGTCAAGATGGCAGTGTAGGCAGATATGGCTCAACTTTTTGCACAACCACATGAAAATTATAACTAAAATATAGAACAACCATCACTTAGAACTGTTAGAAATTGATTGAATGGAAGTCTGACAACTATGGAATTGAAAAAACCACATCCATCCAGACTGGTAGGAGGAGTGCAGCCACACAACAGGCTGATCCCACATCCATGTGTGATAGATAAAAATTCTGGAGGGATATCACAAGAGTGAGAACTCCCAGCCCCATACCAGGCTCCCAAGCCCAGGGTTCCAATGATGGGAAGGTAAGTCCCTACAACTTTTGGCTGCAAAAACTAGTGGAGATTGAGTGAGTGGAAGAAACTTCTGGAGCTCCAAGCAGTTCCTCTTAAAGAACACGCACATGGACTCACCTACTAAAACTCACTCCCTTTAAGCTCCAGCACTAGGGTAGCAGCTTGAAAGGCACTAGTGGTATACAGGGAGAAACTGAAGTGTCTGGCTTCAAGGCAACCAGAGGCCACTGTCCCTTTTCTAACACCTTTCCCCGTGGAGCTGGCAAGCTGGTACCATATCTAAGACTCCATCAACCTGGCTAACACTGTTTGACCTGCCTTGGAGATAGCCAGAGACTGCCTCACCCAACTTAAGGGCTCACCCAAGCTGCTTTTCCATAAGAATGGCTGGTCTTGACTCCTGCTTCACAACTTCCCAAGTCCTATCAAATAAGCAACAGCTGGCTTCACTGAGCCTCAGGCCCAGCACTAGCAGAAGCCAGCTAGAATCACAGCTTGGCTTTGCCTGGGAATCTCTAAGTCCAGAACAAGTACCAGCCATCTCAGATTGCTTTATAGCTGAGGCAGGGAGGCCCTGGACAAAACACAGGTGAGGGCTGACTTTTCCCTGCACCACTCAGGAAATCCCAGGGCCAGTGCACCCAGTGGACAGCTACAGACCACACTGGAGCACCGCCACTCTGCCCCTGCACAGCTGATCCTCATGGAGGGTGGAGATTGGTGGTCAGTGGTCACAGCCAGTCCTTGCAGGTGTCTGGCCTGGGTAAATCCCTCCCATTGATCTGCCAATAGCAATCAAGGCTCAACTACAACAGGAGGTTGTACTCAGCCCGCACAAAGGGTATACCTCAAGTACTCAGCTTGGGCCATAGGGGAGGCTGTGCCACTGGACCCTACAGGATACCTACTACGTTAGGCCACACTACTAAGACATGGAGTCACAGCAGCTCTACTTAATACATAGAAACAAACACAGGGAGGCTGCCGAAACAAGGAGACAAAGACACATGGCCCAAATGAAAGAACAGATCAAAACTCCAGAAAGAAAGATAAACAAAATGGAGATAAGCAATCTATCAGACGCAGAGTTCAAAACACTGGTTATAAGGATGCTCAAGGAAATTAGTGAGGACTTCAACAGCATAAAAAAGAGCCAGTCAGAAATAAAGGATTCACTAATTGAAATAAAGAACAATTAACAGGGAAAAAAGAGTAGAGTAAGTAAAGTGGATGAAGTTGAGAACCAAATCAATGATTTGGAACAGAAGGAAAAAAAAAAAAGCAATTGGGACACCAAGAAGAAAAAGAATCTAAAAAAATGAGGATAGTATAAGCGACTTATGGGACAACTTCAAGTGTTCCAATATTCACATCATAGGGGTGACAGAGGAAGAAGAGAAAGACCAAGAAATTGGAAATCTATTTGAAAAAAATAATGAAAGAAAATTTCCTCAGTCTGGTGAAGGAAATAGACATTAAAGCCCAGGAAGCTCAGAGAGTCCCTAACAAGATGGATGCGAAGAGTCCCAATCCAAGACATCATGATTAAAATGCCAAAGGTTAAAGATAAAGAGGAAATGTTAAAAGTAGCAAGAGAAAATAGTTACCTAGAGGAGAGTTCCCATAAGACTATCAGCTGACTTCTCAAAAGAAACTCTGTAGGCTAGAGGGGATTGGCAAGAAATATTCAGAGACATGAAAAGCAGGGACCTACAGCGAGGATTGCCCTACCCAGCAAAGTTATCATTTAGTATCGAAGGGCAGTTAAAGAACTTCCCAGACAAGAGAAAACTATAGGAGTTCATCATCACCAAACCACTATTATATGAAAGGGACTAATTTAAGAAAAAGAAGATCAAAATTATGAATGATAAAATGGAAAAAATACATATCTATCAACAATTGAATCTAAAAAACAAACTAAGCAAACAAGAAGAGCAGAGACAGATCACAGATACGGAAAACATTTCGATGGTTGCCAGGTGGGGGGTGGTTGGGGGAGCATGGGTGAAGAGGTAAGGGGATTAAGAAGTATAAATAGGTAGTTATAGAATAGCCATGGGGATATAAAGTACAGTATAGGAAGTGGAGTAAAAGCCAAAGAAGTTAAATTCATGATCCATGCACATGAACAATGGTGGGTGTATTGCCAGAGGGAGTAAGTGGTGCTCGGTGGAGGGTGACAAAGGAGGAAAAATCAGAGCAATTGTAATAGCATAATCAATAAAATATAATAAAAAAACTGTATGGGCTGCATGTTTCACTAACCTTTTGAAACCTTTAAAAATACACTAATTCAGTTAGTTCATTAGCACTTCTCTGTGCTACTGAAGGTTTAGTTGTATATAACTTTTATGCGATAGAATATGGGCAATTGTTTAACAATAGTGATAAGAAAACTGGAACCCAGAGAAGTTAAAGAACTTGCCTAAGCTCACACATGATTTTTATCAGAATTCAGGCTTCTAGATTGTTTCATTTTTCCTTTCAATGCTATAAACTCACAGTAGTAATTCAGTTAATTACCAATGTTCTAAAACATTAATTCAATCAGTCCTTTTAATATCCTTTAACTTGAATAAAGCTTGATTTTTATTTTGATCATTATAAAAATTCATTAATCTAACCAGTTGTATGCAGGGAATTGAAGCAAAGAGAGAATATAACTGACAAGCAAACCACTTAATGCTCTACCATATTAATTTATTAAACTTGAGTGCTTTAAGGGTTTCACAAAAGTAGCTCTTTCTCTGGGAATCAAGTATGCAGTATACCACATGCAAATTTATATCCAGGGTAATAACTTCCTCATGAAAATGACATACCTACTAGCGAATATCTGAACCATAAATGTTATTTTTGAGTCAGTAAGAAACCAGTCACAGCATTTAAGATGCCTGTGAGGAAATATAAATGTAAATAAAAACAAAAGTCATTTATGTTCAGTTTTCAGTAAGAAATGTATTAAACTTTGAAATTGGATTTTAGTCACTATGATTTACTCGATATTTTCAGTCAATTTATTTCAATGTTGAGTTTTCAGTCTGTACAAACACAAGTTAAATAGTTGCATCTTACTTAATATATAATGTAGTAAAGTTTTTTTTATTAGGTCTGGACTGAATTTCCTAATCTCCAAATAGCATTCATATCATGGAAATTAATGTATGCTCTAAAAATGTCACATTTTCTCATTGAAAATTATTAAATAACAAATTGTTAGAAATAGATGCTATAGAAAACAACATTAACTTCTTGAAGATAAAGAAAATGGAATTTAAAAAGCAAACATTATTTACTTAGCGACTGCTGCATTTGTAAAATATATGATATAGTTCAAGAGTTTTAAACCTGGAGCATATATTCTGCTGGTAGCCAGGTAACAAGTAAATTATTAAGACCACATATTCAAAGTTCAGATGGAGGAGAAGATATATAATTGGATGCCTTTTGAAAATCAGATTACCTTGTTATAAAAAATTATGTTGTTTTACTTAAATAATAGCTTGGTAAACTAAACTGCTCATTTTACTAATATATCTTCTTTTTCACTCTTGTGATTACATATTTATGAACTGTGCTTTAGTTAAAATTTTAATTAGTTGACAGAATATTAAGTTGTGATTTTGAAAAAATGCGTAGTCCTATCTAATTTCTTAAATCTCTGTGCTAGGAATTCTAAATCCTAATCTCCTTTGTAGAGAATAATAA